CATGGTTGCCCTCAACAAACTGCACTACAGCACGGCTGAAGTTCCGGAGGTACCGCGGAAGTATCTCTGCCTGGATGAAAAATGCTTGTGCTGCCTTAGAATGAAGAGCAAACAGATCCTGGCAAGTAAGCACAACGGTGAAATAACCAAATTGTGTGCGACACAGAGGAACTTTCAACCACTTGAGAAGCTACACGCTGACCTAGCAGGTCCACTGAACATTCGGACTCACAAAGGAGCAAGGCACTTTCTCGTAATCACTGACCAGGCGACACGATTCCGATGGGTTCTACTAGTTCCCAAAAAGGATGATGTACCTGAACTCCTTCAAAGCTTCTTTCGAGACCTGCTTGCAGAATTTGGCACTAACGTAAAAATACTGATCCTACAAACCGACTGTGGCAGCGAATTTAAAAATCAGAAACTCGTCACCATTCTGCAAAATGCTGGAATCAGACCTGAATACTCTTGTCCTTACACTCCAAGTCAGAATGGTATTGCAGAATCTTCGGTCAAGAGAATCAAAGAGATCACTCGAGCATTTATGGACACATCCAATTTACCCCAGAGCCTCTGGGGGTTTGCAGCGGTACACGCCGCACGTGTTGCAAATCTCATTCCTCATCGGTTACTAAACTATCAGACTCCGTTTCAATTACTGTACGGATATTACCCATCACTCAACAAGCTTCCGGTGTTCGGATGCTATGCTTGTGTTCACAGGAGAAATAATAAAGGGTCACTGGTTGGAAGCACTGTTGAAGGAATCTATCTCGGAGATGCTGATCCACTGTTTAATACAAAGGGTTATCTCGTGTATGGACCAAAGTCAAAACGATTCTTCATCTCCACGTCTGTGGCGTTTGATGAAAGCTTATTCCCTTGCAGGCCAAAGAGCTCACGAAGGTTGACAGATCTCAAGGACATAAGTACACTACTTACCGACAATGAACTTGAGTACCCTGACTACTCCAGCTCTGATCTATCAGAACACCACCAAGTCATGAGCTGTGAGCAACAATCTGGCAGTACTGATTGCTGTACAGATCTGATGAATCACGAATCTCCGAAATCTGTTCCCGGCAATGTGGATAAAGCAAAAGATACAGAACCACTGATCAAACAACGACATAGTTTGAAAACTCTGAGCAGAAAACAACTGGTCAATGCACTTGTCAGAAATAAGGTTCAACTCGAATTACCATCATACTTCTATCCGGATGAGACACCTGGAACATGGACAGTCATGAGCTACAGAAGGGAACAAAGGAATAAGCAGACCTACCTTCTCACCAAAGTAGTGGACTGTCCTGTACCAGATGACATTGGAAAGATAATTCCACTGAAAACTGACAATTCTGAGTTCTCCCTACAGAAAGTGTTGGACCTTCAATTTAACGTTCCTCAGTATCTAGATGACATACTCTCTGTACAGCAAGGGCGTACAAGTCCAGGAGAATCAGTGAACCCCACATCTACTGCCTACTTCACCTCATCAACTCTCACTTACTGGCAGCAGATCAAGGAACCCAAAAGCATAAAGGAAGCATATGAAAGCGAACATAGAGACAAATGGATGAGAGCACTCCAAGATGAAATGACTAGCCTTGAACAAAAATTGGTGTATACTACTGAGTCACAGGTACCTCCAGGAACAAAAACTATTCCTTGCAAACCAGTTTTCAAGGTAAAAACAAATTCAGATGGAACCCTAGACAAATTCAAGGCTCGTATAGTAGCGTTGGGATATCGTCAAGTGAAGGGTATTGACTATGAAGAGACATTTGCACCATTTGTAGACCTGAGCACTATTCGATTGCTATTTGCATTGGCTGTAGAATACACCTATCACATTCACCATGTCGACGTAAAAACTGCCTTCCTAAATGCAAACATAGACAAGGAAATTTATACCAGACCTCCCAAGGACTTATTGAAGTACTTACGTGCATGGCTCACAGGAAGTGCCCCAATAGACCTACCAGAGGACGACAGAGTATTCTGGAAACTGCAGCGAGCACTATATGGTACCAAACAAGCCCCTAACTTGTGGAGTGTAACCTTGCGAAAATACTTGTTACAATTAGGATTTCGTGACGTCGGATTTGAAAAATCTGTATACATTCGCAGAAAACCAGATGGGGGTGTTCTAATCGTACTTGTCTGGGTGGACGATGTGTTACTGTTTGGAGACACCTTGGAACCTATCAATGAATTCAAGACAGAATTGAATAACAGGTTCCCAATCACCGATAAGGGAGAAGTGGAATACTTTTTAGGGGTAGAGATCAAACGAGATCTTGAAACAGGAAGCATCACACTTTCTCAAGAAAAATTCATCAACGAAATATTGACAGAATTCGAGATAGATGAGAAAATGAAAGCCTGGACTCCTGGAACTACAACCAAACAAAAACTTAGTGATGATGGAGATTATCTTCACAAAGGAGACCAGACGAGATATCAACAACTGATAGGCAAACTCAATTACCTCTCGGTGTTTACAAGACCTGACTTGGCCTACACAATCTCAAGACTCTCACAACATCTGAGAGCACCTACCGTAACAAATTGGAAGGAAGCTATGAGAGTTCTTCATTACCTAAATCAGACAAAAAATATGGGAATAATTTTCAAACGGGCCGGAAGTCTACACTCACCATGTCCTGGATTAATTGCATACAGCGATAGCGATTTTGGAGGAGACTCCTCAGATCGTCGCTCAACCATTGGCTTACTTCTGCAATACAATGGTGCCCCGATAGTCTGGAAGGCTAAGAAACTCAAACTTGTCACCCTTAGTACAGCCGAATCAGAGTATTGTGCAGGCGCAAAGGCTGGAGTAGAAATCATCTACATACGACAAATATTAGAGGACCTGGGTCTAGAGTGTATCAATCCAACTCCATTGTACATTGACAATCAGGCTGCAATCTGCATTGCAAAGAATCCAGGAAAAAAGAGTTTGGCTAAACATATTGACATCAAGAGGTTTTTCCTAAGACAACTTGTGGAAGAGAATACCGTTAACGTACAATATGTACAGACCTCGAAGATGTTGGCTGACCTCATGACAAAATCACTTGGACGCTATCAACACATGAATCTGACTAAGCAGGTATTGGGCCAATTTGAGTCTTTCCAACATCCATCCCTTGATCCAATCTCAGAACTAAAACCTACAGACTCACCTGACTAGGGACTCTACCATGTCTGGTCTCAGGGGGGCGACGGATCACATGGATCTTATATAGAGCCCAGACTTGCCGAGCCCAAAAACTCAGAAATTGTAACTGTTCTGGAACGGTACGGTACTCCATTCCGACTATTCGATGGAATGACCAGAGGAAGCATCCTCGGGGCGGACAATACCCCTGGTTATCTGTATATAAGCATGGGGTCCTGTCTCCTTCTCTCTCTCTCTCTCTCTCTTTTTCCTTCTCTTCTCCCTCTTTCTTTTCTCCTCATTCTCTCTCTCTTCTCTCTTCCTTTCTCACCCTCTCTTAATCTTTTTCTTTCTCCTATCCTTTCAGTCTCTGTTATCTTCCTATCCTTGCTCTGCTTATAAATACTCTTATCTCAGAAGTCAATTACCTACCTGCTCTAACTTCGCTACTGCATACAATCCATCACTGGCAACTTGTGTGACCGACTGGATCGGACCGTACCGGCGGCGGCGCCACCGGGCCGGCGCGGCCCCGGCATCCGAGTCCGCCGGCTGATGCCGGGTGATCGGACTGAGTGGCTTGCGGCCCCGGCCCGGCGTCCGATCATGAGTCGGACCGTGCGCAGTCGGCGGCCCGGCCGCGCTGAGTCCCGGCACACTGCGGCAGTGGCGCGGCCCGCCGGTCCGAGAGTCCGCCGGACTCAGGCTCGGCCCGGGCCGGGGCAGAATCACCGCCGGTAAAACACTCGGTCGCCTCAGTCCACAGATCATCGGGTGACGGAACGGTCCGACACGGTCCGGCGGGCCGGGGCCTGCCGGGGCTGCCGGGCCGCGGTGCTCTCGGACTCGGCGGTCCGCCGGGCCAACTGAGTTCATTGAAGCGGCGCCCGGGCCCGCCGCCCCCGGGCCCCGGCGAGCCAGTGCGGCGGCCCAGCGCCCCCAGCCGGCGGGGCCCGGTCCTGCCGAACCGTCGTGACTGTGCAGTGCGGCGCCGCCGGTACTACACGGTACGGTACGGTCACCGTCGGGTAGCACAGTACTTCACGACCGTGACTGCCGGGTCAAGCCGGGCCGGGCCTCCGTCTCTCCGAGGGCCTGATTGTCCTCGTACTGCTTTTTAACCGTTGCCTTACCTTTGAGTAAAGATGACTGCCAGGCTGGCGCTGACCAACTCCGTTTAGGGCGGCGCGGCGGGACCCTATGACTCGGTGATACTCACCGGCTGCCGGCCGGGCCGCCACTGAGTCACCACCGTCCGGCGGCCCCGGAGTCCGATCCCTCGGCCGCCGCCGGGCGGCCGGGCCTGAGTTGTAACTGTAATGTAACGTATTGTGACGTGCCATGGCGGAGAGGGGCGGAAGTAAGATGCAGGATGTTTGAAAATGAAGGGAAGGGATAGGGAAGAGAAGAGGAAGGACAAGAGAAGAGAGAGAGAGATGAAGATGAAGGAGGAGAGCAGCGAGAAGGAGTGAAAGTTGTTGATAAGAAGAGGGAGAGAGGAGAAAGAGAAGGAGTGAACGTAGAGCTAACAGATCGCCTTGAGACTTCTCAAGCGTCTGAAAGGGAGTGGGTGATGGAAATGGAGGCAAGTTGCAGGTGGATCATCGGAAGGAGGAAGACCAGCACGTTGTCTATCAGAGGGTTCGCGGCTCTTCCGGGCAGAAGATGCAGGGGAGGATGAGGGACAAAGAACAGGGACGAGGGACGAGGGAGAGGAAGGAGGGAGGAGGGATCAGATGGGGCAGTGATGGGTTTCAGTGATATGTTGAGGCATGAGAGGGATATGAAGGAGGAGAGACTGAAGGAGAGACTGGCTGACTTCATTCTCTCAAACAGTCTCTCCTCGAGCAGCTATCCATGTCGTTCTAGTCCGCACCGGAAGCGCCAAGCAGGTGGTGAAGTGAAAATCTATCATGGGCCCCAAGAGTGAGTACCTTCCCACCTCCCCTCTCTTCCCTCCTTTGTTTGTTCCTTTCCTTCTTTCCTTCCTTTCTCTCCACCTGCTTCTGCTGCCCTCTCTCTCTCTCTCTCTCTCCAAGTCTCTCCTCAGCACTGCTTGTCTCTCCACGACCCTTCCCTGCCTCCCTCCGCTCTCCCCGATCGAGTGACAGTTTCCTGCAGCCTTGAACACAAAGAGGTCAGGGTTCCGGCCGGAGCTGATCATTCTCCTCCTCCTTGTCGTCGCCGTCCCCCTGATAGGATGGCAGATCTACAGGAAGATCACGTTCAAGTTCGAGGAGCTGATGACGGCCCTCACCTCGCACCCCTGCGCCTACGTCCACCGGGACAAGACCGAGTTTGACCTGTCCAAGTTATCGAAGACGAGGTCCACGTGCAGCTCCTCCGACGCGTCCAGCTGCCTGGACTACCACCTGAGAAGACAGGACTCGGACTTCTACTTCAACGTCTGCAACAACGCCATGCGCAAGCCGTCCCAGTGCAACGACCTCTTCGGGCGCCAGAACGTCCAGAACGCAATCGGGTACCAGGTGGGGGATGGCGTCTGCTACTACATGGGCCAGCTCAGGACAGGCAGGTAAAACCCGCAAACTCCTCTGCTCCTGCTTCCTCGAGCTGATGGGATTCAGGTGGAGCCTCCTCGACCAGCGGCACCCTGAGGTTGGGCTGAGGCTGCTGTACACGGGAGGGAGCCGATGCGGAAGGAACAGAGGTCAGAGGGAGAAGAGAAGGGATGAAACTGACGGTGAAGTCGCAGAAAGATCCACGGAGTTTCACTTTGAGTGCAACAGGAAGGCGGCCAAGGTGGGAGCGTGTTTCCTCCTCTCTCACTTCCTCCTGCACATCATCATCATCACCACGACCACCACCACGACCACCACCACCGCCATCATCATCACCATCATCATCATTATCATCATTATCATCACCATGACCATCATCATCATCATCATCATCATCATCATCATCAGTCTTCTTTGCTTTCTGCTCGTATTCCTGCTCTCTTCTCTCTTCTCCTCACCTCTCCGCTGCCTCGCCCTGATGACGTGTCATGCAGGGAGGACCTGTGGCCATCTTTGGAGACTGCGAGTTTGTGGTGACGTGGGAAACAGGCATGCACCGTATTTCTGATGTTTCTCCTCCTTATCCTCCATCAGAGCTGGCGTGCCCGATCCGTCAGATCACTCTCCTTCACTTCCTCCTCCTCCTCATCGTCGTCGTCATCCTCTACCTCGCCGTGGGCTTCTGCATCAATGTGCGCTACCGCGGGGCCATCCCCGACTACGACGCCATTCCCAACATCCAACAGGTTCGTTTCCCAATCATCCGCTGCTTTTGTTGCTTCCCTTCTCTCACCTTTCGCTCACCTTTCGCTTGTGCAGATCCGATGGCTTGGAGCTGTCATTCTTGCCGTATCAGCCAAGGTCTACCCCACTTCTTCCTCTCTAACTCCTTCTACTTCGCTTCTTTTCTCTTCCACATGCTCACGCAGTCTCATTCAGGTCTTGGAGATCATCGGGGATTATCTCCCGTGGGCCCGACGGGCTGTCGGTTGGCTCTCGGACAAGGTCGGCCTGGGCTATGACCTCATAGCTGAGAGGATGGGTGGGAGAGGAGCGGGCGAGCAGCGCAAGTCAGCGGGGCAGCGCAGGACCACGGGGATACTCGACCGAGAGGGCTACGACCAGGTGAGCAGCATGTAGTGCCCTCCCTGTCCGTCTCCATCCTCTCTCCTTTCTCTCCTCGCCTCTTCTTGTGACGGCCGTCGTGCCTCCTGTCTGCCTGTCTTTCTGAGTCTCCTCCAACCTCAGCAGCTAACTGAACTGGCAGCTTTGAACCCTCAACTATCTGAATGATCAGCACAGCGGGCAGGCAGGGGGCAGCATCAAAGTAGTAGAGGGCATGCCGGTCTGCCTGGTCCGCTTCCTTCTCGTTCTTTAGTCTGCCCCAGGGCACCAGGCGAGAGCTCGAGGGTTTGTAAATTCATTTGATCTCAGTAACTCTTGGAATGAAAGAATACAATAACACTTGATTGACACTTGATTTAGAGGAGCAGGATGACTCTGTTCGACTTGTCCTGTTCATCCTTGCTGCCACAGATCGATAACCTCTGCAAGAATTGTATGGCCAACTGGCGATGCTCCTGCGAGCCTGAGGTACCTCAGTTCGGCTCCGAGTCCACGGCTGACCAGGCCTGGCTCATGGACCACGGGCTCAGGCTGCCCGACCCCTGGAAGGACTGACCTCTGTCGTGGATGGATCAGCTCCAATCCACCATGCACAGAAAACACACTCACCCATGGCCGATGCCGCGAAGCATGCCTCCTTGGTCAGTATCCTTGCTGGGAGACATTTTGTTTCTTCCCACGGGCATCATTCTTGCTTGCTGCTGCAGACTGTTCATGTTCATGCTGAAGGTAGCAGCATCTTCGCTCGGATGGTTGTATCCAGCATCTGCGATCTCGTCGTCCAGGGGAGTGAACTCGGTACCACCATCAAGACCATCATGACCAGCGGTCGATCCCATGTGGCCGAACGGACTCCCGTACTGCTCGCCATGAACAGGTTGTGAAGCCGCGAGGTTCATCAGCCCTTGCATTGGAGAACTTCTGTTCCCAAAGTTGGGTCCTTGACCGGACCCTCCAACCACCTGCCCTCCTTGCATTCCTGGCGACTGCACTGGAAATGGCTGCAAGGAGCAGCCGTCATTGAGCAATCGTGCATGCACAGAAGTCCAAACCTGCTGTAGGTATTGCTGCTGGAATTGCTGCAACTGTACTTCATCTAGATAGGCTCGTAAATACTGTTCGTCGCTACCCATCGGCGACGGCATCCCCTTTGCAGCACCCAAGAGCGCTGCAAGATCTACTCCTGCTAAAGATTCAGACGAGTGAAATCAACACCCATAATCGCACCATTCCCAGAGCCAAAACGCTGAAACGCCGATAAAACAGCAGGCGGCATCGGAGCGCGCAATTCCTCGACGCCATGTGCATAAGGGCAGTGCGGTCCTTTACAACAGCGACTCTGCAAGTGGAAGAGACAGAGTTTGGTCTTATAACGATCCATCTTGACTGGAGAGAGGAGCCCAGGAGGAGCGATTGGAGCTGCAAAGGCCCCAGTTAGTGAATGCTCATCGCTGCACATCAAGAGAGGTGAAGGAAAAATACGTCTATAAGCGGGTCCTGAACCTGCTAAGCGTTTGAGGTCTTCAGCCCCATGAGCGAATGTGCAGGATGCTCCTTTGGTGCACATGTTGTTTTCCCAAAATTTACATATCACCTGCGAGACATTCAGACTCGAGAGGTAAATTAGAGGAGGTGTGGAGAAAGACGATAGTACTAGCACAGGTGTTTGGAGACATACCGTCTTATATCCCTTGGGTTGCATGTTCATCATCGAGCCTCCTTGCCATTGTGCGTCATTCTGCACTGGGCTGGTCTGACCTCCATGGAACCCGGGGCCCATCATGTTCATATTCACACCAGGAGGCTCGTTAAAGTGCCGCTCTAATCCCTGCAGCTGACTCTGCTGAGCAACATTGCCCGGGGGCGCCATGGCTCCCGCCATAGCACTGTTGAAAGGCGCTATCTGCTGCATGCTCGGGGATGCATTGCCTGGCATGCCGAACATGGGGTTGTTCAACGGGCTTCCAGCTCTATTCACACCTCCAAACATGTTCTGGGGGCCCTGGATGACAAGATGAGAAACACGATTGAGAAATCACATGTGCATACGAACCATGGGGTTCAGACCCTGGAAGTTGGGTACATTTCCTTTCATGATCTGAGGATTCTGGTCATGCATGATATTGGGTCCTTGTTGCATCGGCATTGGTTGCAACATGTGCATTTGTTGTTGAAGATTGTTCTTGTTCTGCATCTGCATGTTCTGCATCTGCATGTTCTGCATCTGCATGTTCTGCATCTGCTGCTGGTGCATCTGCATGCCCGGCTGCGGCATTTGCATCTGCTGCTGGGGTCTGTCCATATCACCGTACATCTGCAATTGGCGTGACGCACGCGAAACATTCATTTGCTGCTGCATTGGCGATGTTTTGACTGGTGAGTTTGAAGCACTCCCCTGATTCGATCGGTTCCTGTTCGGTGAAGCGTTGGGGTCAATGTGGCTCGAGGCAAGAAGGTCAGCTAAGTCATCCTGGTTCTGAACGAACTGCGGGGAGTTGAAATGCACTAGGGAGGGGGACTGAGAGTTGGGAGCTTGAGAGTTCTGATGTAGCTGTGCAAATCTTTGCTGAATTTCGCTCTTGGTGAAAGGCATCGGGAGGGGCTGCATTGCATTCATCGGAGGGTTTGAGATCAGCCTTGGAGGGAATCCCTGTTGGTATTGTTGTGGAGAATGCCCTTCGGAGAACTCGCTTCTGACATGCATACCTTGCCCTTGCAACTCGTTTGAGCTCTCAGGCGATAGACTATTTCTGCTCTGAAAATCCTGTGGGGATCCAATCGGGCGCTGTTGTCGATTAGTTGGGGCGGCGGCGTTACCATGCAAGTTTGAGTTAACGTTCATCATCTGAGAGTAGGCTTGCTGCATGTTGGGTGGCTGTGCACGTTGAGCAGGCAGCCAGTGCTGGGCTGAAGGTTGGGATGTAGTATTTACAGTGTTGGGATGCTTGTTTTCCGCTATCGGCTTCAAGAGCTGCTCTTCAAGCTCGGGTCCACTTCGGAGGTACCCTGGTGCACAATGTGTGTTTGACTCAGAGATCAAACCTGGATGGCTCTTGAGGTGGGGCGAATATGCTTGCTGGTCAGAAAGGGCTTTGAATTTCCCATCCACCGGCTGCATGTGAAAGAATAATGTTGGCCCGAACGGTCGTGCTGTAAGCAAATCAAGTCAGACGAACACAAGGCAGGGAGTAATCACAAAAGAGTGGTTCTCTTGTTATTTCATTTCAAATCGTAGTTGGTCATAGTCAAAATGATATTGAGGCATGTAAACAATCGGCAGAAAAACAAAACACTGCAAACGTGTTCAGCTTCGAATCAGGTATCACGCACAGCATCATGACCCTCATTGCTACAAAAAGACAAGCATCCACACAATCAGGAGTACAATACGAATGGCCATAGCTGATTTTCAAAAAAATCAACAGATTAGAAACTCATAACACAAGATCTGCTTTCAGAATGCTTCACAACAAAGCGCTGCGATCTTAAAACAAATGTTGACAGACGACAAAACGACGACTCCTCGACATGAAATCAACGGGGCTGAACGCTAAGAAGAGATAGTCGGATGGAGGGGTCGAAGACATGACGATCACAGAGAACAGTATGCCATCCTGCCCCCGCTCTGAGCGCAGCAGCGGCGCATCGCTGCAGCGGAGGCGGCGGAGGAGGAGGAGGCTCAAGCTACCCCCCGCAGGGTGTCCTAGGTCACATAGGAGAGATTCTAGGCGGTTCTAGGACTCCTATTCACTCCAGGCGTCAGGATTCCGTCAAGGGGCTCTTGATGGGAGAGGTGGGTGGTAATCTGAGAACAAAATCCATTGAATTTTAGTTAAGTTAAGTTATGATTTGCTACTAAGTTTCTTAAAAGGTGTTATACCTGTAAACAATCTACTGAAAATTCAAGGGGTAAATGTGGGCTCGATGAAAGCACTGGAAAACGTATCACCCCTGTCTGTGAAAATATTTTCAGGTAACAATTGCTGGTACCAAATTTCCGTACAAGCAGTCTGTATATTTGTATGGATTTTATAATATATATAGATGAATTTTCTGAGTATTTATGTACCATGTGCATATTTATGGTACTATAAATTAAAACAAAGATATTAAGCGGTTATCCGACGAACGCGACTTCCTCTGCCTTCTATCAGGTAATATAGTCAAAAAGATTTGTGGTTGTATGTGATATAGTCAATATTTCTCATTTTGCAGTGAACAAGCTGTCAGGTAGGGCATTTTCAAATATGTTCTCATTTAATAATTGACACCTGTACGGCAATTCATGATGAAATACCCTCCACAAGGTGTTGAGCTCCAGCAATAGGTCTATAGTCAATGAAAGTCTAAATATATCATTTTTTTTAGCCTTTATTGAGGAAAACGGAGGACCCTACCCCAGTGAGAGACATTCTATACCCCTCCTTTCTACCGCGCTCCTCTGTACCCACCCCTGGTCTCCCCCCGGAGGCACCGATCAGTCGGACGGTCCGGGTCGGACCGTACGGCTGGTCACTGTCACGCCGTACTACCGTACTGTCAGACCACAGCCCGCCGGCCCGCCGTCACCGGGCGTGACCGCCGCGGCGGCGGCGGAGTACGCGCTGGATGGTCCGAGTCTCTCGGAGGCTCGCCGACCATCGCACTGCGCAAGACGTCTCCGAGTGATCGGCCGGGCGCCCGGGCCGACTCTGTGACTTGCAAACGAGTCCCGGTACTGCGGTATGCGCGCGGGGACGGCCGGCGTCTCCACAGCGTTGCCTTTCTCAATTGACCTTGGAGCTCTAAAACGTTTCGCGGTGAGGGTGGTAGATTCAAATCCACGCATACCACGCCTCATGTGGGGGCGGGGTGGGTCTTCCGACCGTGTTCCGAATTCAAATCACGAAGAGCCAAGCAGAACTTTTTCAGGGGTAGGGTCTTCTTGAGTACAATTTCTTGGTACCAGTTAGTACAGTCCGAACCATGTGACTTTGGTACTCTTTTGGTACCATTCGGGGTTCTCCCCTATGTATTGTACACATCCGGTACAAGTATAACCCCACTCCCATGAAAAATCTTCAAGCATGCTGGTGAATTGCTTCATCCCTTGAACCTGGGGCCTGTCCGATCAAATCATATGGGCATACATAAGAAAACTGCAAGCCTGTATGTGGGGTCGGCCTGAACCATCTTGAATTCAAATGAGAGGGGGTGATGGAGGCGGGACTCCTTCGGATCCGAGAACCCCTCCGTTTGAGTCATTTTGGGTGGTGGGGTGGGTATGGAGCACCCTCAACTACCCACCTTTGAAAGAGTTTGAAAGTCTACATTAGGGGGTGGGGGTAACACCCATTTCTCATTCCCCAAGCCCCCTCTCCCTGGACGAGCAAGAAGCGATGAAATGGTGCCTTCCTGACTCACCAGGATGAACTTTGATATTGAGAGACTTCGAATCCAACCCAACTGAGATAGAAATGAGATGAAGATCTCATATCATACCTGTAAGAGATGATCGAGCTTCTTTCTCAACTCTACAGGTTGGGCCAAGGTTTGAATCATCCATCCTGCAATGGAATATGCACCCTAGGTTCAAACAATCCGCGGGTGTACTTGCAAATATTCTTCGAAGACAAGATGAAATTTTTATGATCAGGTAAGGAATTGATAATCGATACACCATTGAACAGAATCAACTCTGATTGACCCTTTATTCAAATTGCCGTAGGTTGCACGTTGCGCTCAAATGCATGACTGTGATTTGTGAGAAATTTGTATCCAGCTGTACCTTGAGCGACTTTTCTGTCTAGATATGTGTTCTCATGTCATCACTTGCTTTCAATTCTTCTAGTCTTACAGTCAGGATTCATGCACTTCACCTTTCTATGGAGGCAAGTCTTACATGCACTCAACCGTTCAACGATACATGAAGAGACGTTTGCACAGAAGATGACTGTTCCTGCCCGCATAGATGACTGTAGAGAACCGTTGTTGATCATGAATCACTATATCTATGATCATATTTCGATGATTTTTCCGTTTCGCTTCAATTTTTTCCTCTGTCATGATATTTTTTCACAAGGATTTCGATTGCACAGAAACCTAGTCAGAAATGAAGCAATGTGCAGATGATGCCTTTGCGTATCAATAAATGAGACGTTCATCGGATCAATCCTGTCTTGGTGTCGCAATGCTACCGTGCAACTGTAGTGTTCTTGTCGCATGGCTCTACAGAGGAGTGCCTTGTTCAACAGAGCAAGCACTCGATGATTGCAATCGAGTCGCAAACACTGTGAATCAACAAACAGAATTGCACATTCAGGTTATCATATCTTTATTAGAAGAGTTACAATCAGGGTACAAGCACAACCGACCTCCCTGTAATCCTGAAGACGTTCCATCTTTTGCCTGGCGAGGGTGTATCTGCGTTAACCAAGAAGCATGTGACATGTGGCCACATCTTGAATGCTCTACGGTCAGGAATATCAACATCTTCAAAACGGCTCTCTTGTTTGCTGTGACATCAACTGCTTGGTAGCGGCTCATCCGATGAACAGAATCTGATGCAAGTTCACACCAGTAATATTTACATGATGCATCAGTCAGTGTGATGAAATTGGTGATTTGCAAAATGTTTCATCGTTCCAACACATCCTTAAGAATTGGATGAAGAATCCTTCACGAACCACGGGACTTACTTGTCATCATTCGATTGTACTGAGGATCATCTTTGTTTCAAGCATCGAGCTGCTCCGACCGTGACTGCTAAAATGCGCTGTATCTGTTCATTTAGAACTTTCCGTTGAGCTTTTCCTTCAGTTTTGCATGTTCTTCCATGCAGTGAGATGACCATGTCAATATTTTGCCTAGACCTGATCGACTCCCGAGTCCTGAACTTATCTTTGTTTGTGCCCATTTCATGTCACAACCTTTTCACATCGGGACAGTTCTGCGATGTGTCGAAAACCCCTTCGTATGCAGCCATTGTCTCGAGAGTTTTGTATGCTGGGCGGCTTACTGGTACGTCTACGTACTCCTGGATACCGGTTTGTAATATTGGTTGGGCACTTGCCAAAGTCTTCACCCGTTCATCAATCTCATACAAGTTGCCAAAGGCTGCAAATCATTCCAACCTGCATCAAGAACACGTCATTTGGATCTCTTCCCGTGATAATTTCGATGAAAAAAAGAGATAATGCTCACCTGACTTGTCTTGCTCTGTCAAACGCTGCACATCCTCATATCTGTACGGCTTCGCAGAGTTCACAGTGGCGGGAAACTTTCAACATTGATATTTTTTATTTTGATATTTGATATCGTATTGGCGATGCATCATGATTGAGCTTCGGAGGGCCAGCCACGCCTGTGAAGGCCATAATGGCCATCAAAGCTGACTTGCGATGGCATGGGAGCGTGACACACAAAGATTTCAGGCCGCAGGAGCGTGACACACAATGATTTCAGGCCGAACACCTCCTCAATTTTCAAGTTGTTCCATGTAGGTTGGACTTGCTCCAAACTATATGGAACAACTTGAAACTTGGAGGAGCGTGACACACAATGATTTCAGGCCGCAGGAGCGTGACACACAATGATTTCAGGCCGAACACCTCCTCAATTTTCAAGTTGTTCCATGTAGGTTGGACTTGCTCCAAACTATATGGAACAACTTGAAACTTGGAGGAGCGTGACACACAATGATTTCAGGCCGCAGGAGCGTGACACACAATGATTTCAGGCCGAACACCTCCTCAATTTTCAAGTTGTTCCATGTAGGTTGGACTTGCTCCAAACTATATGGAACAACTTGAAACTTGGAGGAGCGTGACACACAATGATTTCAGGCCGCAGGAGCGTGACACACAATGATTTCAGGCCGAACACCTCCTCAATTTTCAAGTTGTTCCATGTAGGTTGGACTTGCTCCAAACTATATGGAACAACTTGAAACTTGGAGGAGCGTGACACACAATGATTTCAGGCCGCAGGAGCGTGACACACAATGATTTCAGGCCGAACACCTCCTCAATTTTCAAGTTGTTCCATGTAGGTTGGACTTGCTCCAAACTATATGGAACAACTTGAAACTTGGAGGAGCGTGACACACAAAGACTTCAGTTTCAGGCCGAACACCCCCGGCTACGAGTCGAATCAACCTCCACTGCTCACTGGCCAGACTCTATTTAACCCAAGATCCACCAAACACTATCTCTCAGTACACCTGAGATCCTTACCCCAACCTTATTCACCTCAACGATACACAGCTGTGCAGTCTCTAACACCTTCACTGATGATGATAGAACTCTCAGAAGAACCACACAACACCCGGGCCACCAACACTTCCTTTATTCACAGCGGTCACCTCCCGGCTTCAGTCCCTTGCAACCGTGACGGGAGTCCAGTGACGGCAAGTACAATGCACAGCGCCCTGGACACGTGTCCTCCTCACCCCCTTTTCACTGCCAGACCCTCAGGCTCGTCGATTCCTTAATTCCAGACCTATGTCAAAGCCCACTTCCATCTGACTCAGTGAGTCGCTGAGCTTCGTCTACCGATGAGACGCAATACCCTGAACTTCTCGCCGTCTCCAAGAACTTATCGGCGGCGAGTTCTTACACCTCCTCAATTTTCAAGTTGTTCCACAGTGAAATGTTTTTTGTGGCCCTGAATCATTTCGGGCGCACTGACTCGTGTTCCAAGTTCCGACTGAAGCCTGGCATGCCATGTTATGTTAAGTTATGTTGACCTCCGACTGTTCAAGTCAAGTTGTGTCTGACACTGGGCCAGTGACAGTGACTCAGGCTACCGTAGTACCCGGGGCCGCCCCGGCGCTGGCAAGCAGGCACCGTGACGGTTCCAAGGCCGAGTCACTGAGTCAGCGCCGGGCTGGCGCGGCGCGGCGCGGCACTCAGCCTCCGACCGGACTGCCAGGCTCGGGCTCCGCCCGGCCGCCGCCGCCCGGCCGCCGCCGCCCGGCGGAGGCTCAGTGAGACGGTCACCGGCGTCGGCACTGCTGATTAAAGCGGCCGGGATCAGCATGCCAGCCATGCGGCCAGTCCGATCAGATAGCCCCGCTGAGTTAATTGAACCGCAGTGACAGGCGGGCGGCCGCTGTGAAAACTCAAGGTCCGACCCGGCCGCCCGGCCGGGCGAGTCGGAGCCGGACTCTCCGGGACCAGGCTGAGGCTCGGAGGCTTCAAGGCTACCGGCGTACTCCGGTGAGTCAACCGTTGAACGGTGAGAGTCAAGTTCCGAGCCGCAGGCCGGGCGGCCCCACGCGGCGGCAATGCCCGGCGGTACCGGGCCGTACGGTACCCGCCCGGTCCGTGTCATCGGAACAGCGCCGCATTCCGAAGTTCCTTCAGGAAGTTCGGCCGGGCGGCCACCGTCGTGACAGCGATATCCGATCGGATGATCCCGGCGGCGGCTGGCCGCGGGGGGCCGCTGCCGCGCGGGGATTGTCCTGCGCGCACGGTACTGTATCATAGTATGCCTCGGCGGTCAGGCTGCCTCTGTGAGTACGGTCCCGGACTGTACCGCCGAAGTTCGCCGGCTTGAACTCCGTTCACCCCCGACACTCACGGTCACCCCGGCGGGCCCGGCCGCCGCGCCGGCCGCCGGCCCGTCGCCGCGGCCGCGTGACTCTTACTGCCGCGGCGGCGGTTGTTGCCGGGCCGCCGGCCCGTGACCCGGTGCTAAAACTGCCGCTGTGCGGCAGTGCGGCAGTGCGGCAGTGCGGCGCCGCGCCGGCACTCGAAGCTCGGGTAGGTGAAAAGTTTACTCAAAGTTAAGTTAAAAAGGGTTGGATCGCTAACATTGGGTGGGTACTGACTGCTTGGTGATGGCCCGGTACCACGGTGATGACCACGTGAATACTGGGCAGTATGGGGTAGGGCAGTCTCGAGTAAATGCGAAAGGGGGTGGGGTAGGGTTGGGGCTCTTCTTGTTAGCTCCGCACGTGCGGGGGCTGAACGTGCGGGCGACCAACATGGGGGAGGAATGAGGAGGGAGGAGGCGATGCGAGGAAGAGCGACAACGACGACAGCAGAGGGAGAGGGCTAGGAGGAGGAGAATCAGTGCTCTAGCTCCCTGAGGACGAACAATGGCGGCTGACAAGAAGAAATCGCACAGAGCTCGGCAAGCCGGGTCGAAGGCGAACAAGAAGAAGGCGAAGAAAGAGAGGAGGGAAGGGAAGACGCTAGCTAAGGGTCAGAACCCAAGGGCCTTCGGAAGATCATCTGCTGGTATCACCGCGCGCATCCAACAAGCAAGGAAGGCCGAGATTCATGAGAGGAAGCTGCATGTGCCGCTCACCGACCGCTCCTACCTTGCCGAAGATCCGCCACCTATCGTGGTGGCTGTCGTGGTAGGCTTGCAACCTCTTGCTCTTGCTCCTGCTCCTGCTCCTGCCCCTGCTCCTGCTCTTTCTTCCCCTCTTTACAGCGTCGCATCTCTGACTCCTGGTTTCCAGGGACCTCCCAAGGTTGGCAAGACGACTTTGATCCGATCGCTGGTGAAGCACTACACGAGGCACAACCTCAACCAGGTTCTCGGCCCCATCACGCTAGTGTCCGGCAAGAATAGGAGGCTGACCATCGTCGAGTGCGCCAACGACCTCGCCTCCATGATGGACGTTGGAAAGTCAGCGGACCTGATCCTCCTTATGGTGGACGGGAGGTACGTGCTGCTCGTTGGTGCTGCTGTTCGTGACGTGTTGCTGCAGCTTCGGGTTTGAGATGGAGACTTTCGAGTTCCTCAACATCCTGCAAGCTCATGGGTTCCCCAAGATCCTTGGCATCCTGACGCACCTCGATCACTTCAGAGACAACAAGAAGCTGAGGAAGACGAAGAAGCGCATGAAGTCGGTAAGGACTTGGGTGGCGCTGCTGCGCTTTCTCTGACGCTCTCTCGCTCCCCAGCGCTTCTGGACGGAGGTGCATGACGGGGCCAAGTTGTTCTACTTCAGCGGGCTGGAGAAGAGCGGGAGGTGAGGAGGGGGGATTGGGGGAGGTGAGGAGGGGGGATGGGGGGGAGGTGAGGAGGGGGGATGGGGGGGAGGTGAGGAGGGGGGATGGGGGGGGATGGGGGGCCGCCTGTCACGAGAGCCGATGCGATTGAGATGAAGAGACTTGAAACCTTTTCTGACACCTCTAGACTGATTCTCCATGCGAGTGGAGATGCTGATTTTCTTTCTCTGATCAAATGCTCGATGCCCGTGTGAACGACTGCTGGTTGAGCGCAGCTGTGGCCTGCTTTGACGCGTCTGTGTGGCAGGTACCCCAAGACAGAAGTTCACAACCTAGCAAGGTTCATCTCTGTCGCCAAGTTCCGCCCTCTCATCTGGAGAAACCATCACCCGTACGTCCTTCTCCTCCTCCTCCTCCTCCTCCTCCTCCTGGAAAGGGAACGTGCGAGACTGCTTCCCCAATGATGCAAAATATTATTAGAGCTGTCGGAATGTTCCGTGACGACTTCTTTTCCGCTTAGTGTATGAGGGGAACAGCCGCATGCCTTTCCTTTCCTCTTCCTCTTCCTCCTCCCTCTTCCCTCCTCTTCCCTCCTCCTCCTTTCTCACTTCCTCTGGCAGGTACGTGATCGCGGACAGGTTCGAGGAAGTGACGGACCCGGAGAGGGTCCGGCAAGATCCGCGCTGTGACCGGACCATGTACCTGTACGGCTACTGCAGGGGAACCTACCTCAAGCCCTCCCAGCGCGTCCACGTCCCCGGGGTCGGCGACTTCAGCCTGGAGGCAGTGACGCAGCTCGAGGACCCCTGCCCCCTGCCCACCAAGAACGGGGAGAAGAAGAGGAGGACGCTGAAGACTGCGGAGCGGAGCATCTATGCTCCCATGTCGGACGTGTCCGGGATCCTGTTCGACAAAGACGCTACCTACATTGAGATCCCGGACAAGCACGTGGTGTTCTCGAAGCTCTCCTCCCTCTTCCCCGGGGGGATCTCGCACGAGATGGATCTCGACGAGCAGCAGCAGCAGGAGAAGGCAAGGGAGGCGCTCATGTCGGCACAGGCTCAGCACAGTGCCGAGCATAGCGAGGGAGTGCAGATGGTGAGGAGGCTACAAGACGCGGAGAAGACGGTGGACGAGAGGCTGGGGGAGGCGACGCTGCAGCTGTTCGAGGGGAGCAAGAAGATCACGTCGAGCGAGTACGAGCGACTGAAGAGCGAGGAGGTAGGGAGAGGAGAGGAGGAGAATCCAGGGAGTGACTTTTGCACAGGTGAAACAGGACAAGGATGCTATGGAGGACGAAGATGAGGACGAGGACGAGGACGAGGACGAAGATGAGGACGAGGAGCAAGGCGAGGAAGAGGAAGAGAACGAAGAAGACCAAGACGAAGAGGAGGACGAAGAGGAGGAGGATGAAGAAAGAGTGCAAGAAGGTGAGCGGTTGATGTGAGATTTTATGGTTTCTGACGAACGTTTCATGGCAGTCGACGATGACGATGATGATGAGGAAGCGGAAGAAAGTGATACGGAGGAGGAGAAAGGTGCTCGGAAGAAGAAGGACCTTCCAGGGTACGAGAAGGTTGAGTTCCAAGGGAGGATGAGAAGGAAGGCTGTGTTCCTGGATGAGGAGGAGGAAGACGATGACGACGACGACGAGGAAGGAACAGACGAGGAGGACATGAGCGAGGAGGAGGAGGTCTCGTCTGCTAAAAGAGCGAAGGGGAAGGGCAAGAAAACGCCTGCGAGGCACAGCGAGGAGGCGAAGGCAGGCAAGGAGGAGTACAACAAGAGGAAGAAGGGGGTGAAGCAGCCCGAGGTGATCGCCTGGGCCGACGAGAGCAACGAGGAGGAGGAGGAGGAGGAGGAGGAGGAGGAGGACAAGTACGGAGACGAGGAGATCAGCTTCTCGCAGCCTGGGACGAAGAAGCTCAGGAACGAGCAGGCCGAGGACGAGGAGGGAGAGGGGGATGAGGGAGAAGGGGAGGGAGAGGAGGAGGAGGAGGAGGAGGAGGCTCACTCCAAGTGGAAAGCTGTGTTGGGGAAGCGCTGGCTGATGAACGCAAGGGTGAATATCGAGGCGCTTGTGTATGGGAAGAAGGGGAAGAGAAAGGAAAAGAAGGAGGAGAAAGCTCGGGGGGGAGAGGAGGAGGAGGGATCGGACGAAGATTTCTTCAAGCCCGTCAAGGGAGGGAGGAAAGCTCGAGGGAGGGAGGAGGAGGAGGAAGAGGGAGAGGAGGAGGAACTGGACGAGGACGAGGAGGACTTGACCAAGTTCAACCACGATGAGGAGGAGCTCGCGTGCTGGGAGGACGCCAAGAGGATCGCGGAGATCAGGAGGAAGTTCGTCAACGACGAGACGGACGCGGCAACGGTGAAGGAGGCGTTCTACAAGGAGGAGGGGGGAAAGGAGGACGGGGAGGTGGCGTATGGGGACTTCGAAGACCTTGAGACGGGGGAGGTGTTTGCGACGGGGATGGGGGAGGTCCCGATGAATGTGGATAGCGGGGATGAGGAGGAGGGAGGCGGGAAGAAGAAGAAGAAGGGCGGGAAGGATACAGTTGGGTCCCTGGATGAGGAGAAGCTGGAGGACGAGGAAGGAGGAGAGGAGGAGGATGGGAAGAACTTGTCGGAGGCAGACAGGCAGGCGGAGCTGATGAAGAAGAAGCTGGAGAAGAAGAAGCAGTTCGACGCGGCGTACGATGGGATCGAGGAGAACGAGGATTTGATGGCGGCCAGGGCGGAGCTTGATGCCCAGAAGAAGCTCAACTTGGAAGAGTTTGAGGAGGAGGACGCAGAGACGAGAAGGCAGTACGTTGGGTTCACCCCTGGAGCATACGTGCGGGTGAAGCTGACGGGAGTCCCTTGCGAGTTTGTCCGGCACTTCGACCCCAGGAGGCTGATGGTGGTCGGGGGGCTGACGGCGCAGGAGGAGAGGACGGGGATGGTGCAGGTGAGGCTGAAGAAGCACAGGTGGTACAGGAGGGTGCTGAAGAACCAGGACCCCCTCATCGTCTCGCTGGGGTGGAGGAGGTTCCAGACGATGCCAACGTTCTCGCTCAAGCACGTGGCGGCGGGGGAGGACAGGAGCAGGATGATCAAGTACACTCCCGAGCACATGCACTGCTTCGCCCAGATGCTCGCTCCCCTCACCGCCCCCGGCACCGGTTTCGTCTGCTTCCAGTCGCTGTCGCAGGAGGCGGCCGGCTTCCGCATCGCAGCGACGGGAGTGGTGACGGAGATTGACGGAGGGGAGGGCAAGATCGTAAAGAAGCTGAAGCTGGTGGGGGAGCCTATGAAAGTTCACAAGAACACCTGCTTCGTGCGCAGGATGTTCTCCTCCTCCCTCGAGGTCGCCAAGTTCGAAGGCGCGTCGATCAGGACGGTCAGCGGGATCAGGGGGCAGGTGAAGAAGGCTGTGAAGGGGGAGGAGGGAGTCTTCCGCGCCACGTTCGAGGACAAGGTGCTCATGTCGGACATCATCTTTCTCCGCACGTGGGTGCAGGTCCACCCTCCTCGGTTCTACAACCCGGTGACGAACGCGCTGGGGAAGTTCGAGGGAGGGGGAGAGGAGGGCTGGAAGAGGATGAGGACTGTGGGGGAGATCAGGAGGGCGAAGAAGGAGCCGGTGCCGGTTAACAAGGACTCATTGTACAAGCCGATCGAGCGCAAGCCGCGGGTGTTCAACCCCCTCCGCATCCCCAGGGGCCTGCAGCAGGAGCTGCCGTTCGCGTCGAAGCCCAAGGAGGAGAAGCAGAGGAGGAAGAAGCTCTACGTGCACAAGCGCGCGGTGGTGATGGAGCCCGAGGAGAAGCGACTGCACGTGCTGATGCACAAGATCAACACCATCCGCAACGACAAGACCAAGAAGAGGAAGGAGGCAGACGCTCGCAGCCGCGCAGAGCTCGCGAAGAAGCTCGAGAAGAAGAACGAGTCGCTGAACCAGGTAAGAAGCAGGGAGCTGGGGAAGAGTGGGGGGGGATAAGTGAAGATGAGTGAAGGGGAGGAGGGAGCGAGTGAAGAGGAGCTTATGGCGATGTCAGTCAGAACTAACGCACATGGTGGCAGTACCGCAAGGACGAGAAGAAGAAGCGCTTCCGAACGGAGGGGAAGGAGGCAGCCCGTAGGGAAGCGAAGAAGAGAAAGACGATCTCGGAGTGAGAAAGAAGCATGTAAATACTGACAAGAGAGGCAAGTCAGATGTAGATTCACAAGGATTGTAAGGATGGAGAGAATGAATGTACATATCCCCAAGGACTCCTCTCCTGCTTGCTCAGTCTTCCCTCCTCCCCTTCCGTCTCCCTCACTCCATCTCCTTCCCTTCCACCTCCTCTTCATTCCGTTGTTTATCGGTTAAGGAACTTAAGAAGGAACCCAGAAAGGCCGGTGGTGATGACAACAGGGAGCGCGACAGTGAGAGGATCGCTGCCCTTCCTGACGCCGTTGTCCTCGCCCTCGTTGATCTTGCGGAATCGCTCCTCAGCATCGCACACGTCCTTGGTCTTCGACTGAAGGCACTCCTCCATACGAGCCTTGCGCTCCAGCTACATCACAGCCGTCATCAACGAGGAGGAGAAGGAGCAGGAGCAGAAGCAGAAGCGGGAGCAGGAGCAGGAGCAGGAGCAGGAGCAGGAGCAGGAGCAGGAGGAGAGCAATACAGTAAGTAGACAAGCAAGGGTATTAAATAGAGATGAGCGAGCAGGAAAGAGACAGGAGATGTGTAGGACGAGAGAGAAGGAGACGGAGAGGAGGGGGAAGAGAGGGAGAACATTGAAGGGAAGAGTGATGGAAGCGAGGGAGGGAGAGAGATGAAGGGGAAGAGGTAGATGGAGGGAGAGGGGGAGGAGGAGGAGGAAAGCTAGGATTGAGCAGCAACGTACCGACTTCATCTTTTCGCTCTCGGATGCGTAAGGGTTCTCAACAATGGCTGTCTGCCTGTACTGCTTCTGGTTGTCGCGGAGGACAGAGAAGGAGTTGGAGTCCATAGCCATCTGCTCCCTGCTCAGCTCCTCCTCTCCTTGCTCCTCCTCCTGATGTATCTCCTCCTGCTCCTCCTCCTGATCTATTTCTTGCTCCTCCGCCCATTTCTTCACTCAGATGCTACACTACTATCATGAACCATCCCACTCTTCCTGCAACCTACTCCGGCACCTCCACAGCCACCAACACCTCCTCTTTCTCCTTTCCCTCCTTCCCTTACTTCCTCTTGCTCCCCTCTCTTCACCTCACTCCCTCCTCTCCACCTCACTCCCTCCTCTTCCACCCTCATCGCCGCACCTGGGAGTTCACACTAGCATCAGCGGGAAGGAGAGGCTGTCCGAGAAGAGCAGCAGCAACTGCCAAACCAGAGGCGGAGAGCACGACAGGATTAGCTCCCTGCTTGCCCGCCGACATGCGCACGGAGCAGCGAGCAGGAGCAGATCTGGGGGTGAGAGTGAAGGCAGGGGCCTGGAAGGCCGAAGCACATCCGATAGCGAGGGAGAGCACAATCATCTTCATCATCTATCGAATGCTCCGTCAGCAAGAAGTACAGCAGACACATGTCTCCTTCCTCCTTCCTTCATCATGATCATAGATCATCGTAATCGTCACCATCATTCGCCTCCCTCCTGATTTCCCACTGCTCCTCCTGTTCCCCTGCTTCATCAATTCCTTGCAATCCTCCTACTACAACATCCTTTCACTCCTACTCTGTTCTCTTAAGCATGTGTACCAGCCAGCATAGGATCCCAGAAATCTCGGAGGATCAATCCTAAGCACAACAAGCACGTCTTCTCCTTACAAATGCTAGGTCTCCGACTCTATTCGCACTAAGTGCTAACGTATAGTTATCTCCGAACATGTTCTGTCCCCACTGCTCGGCAGAACAAGCATGCGTGAAGCAAACAATGCTCCCTGTCACTTCATGCTGTGTGGTTTCATATTTGAGTCTATGATGCGAAAACAAGATTCTTCCTTCCGACCCTTCATTTCTTTTCCCCGATTCTCGTTTCCGCACTTCGCCTCCTGACCCTTATGTCTCTCTTGCTTTTCAAGCATTCTCCTCCCGCCTTTCGCTGCAGCCCTTGGACTTCTACCAAACTATCTTCTCCTCTGCATCAACATTCTCCGTTCTTCCTACTCTACGTCTCGATCTCCTCATCCTCCTCGCCTCTTCGCCCTGCTCCTTTCCCTCAGTAATCGTTCTAACAAGCATTTCGCTTTCTGACACGAATCCCTGCGGCCTTTGAAGGGTAGGGTAGTGACCCCCACCCTTACTTTCAGCTACCCTGGAAATATTGAAGCACTCCGCTTTCATTACATTTCCTTTGAACCCCCGCATTGAAACTATCATGAAACATTAATAGTGGGTAGGGTACTTGTCATGGTATGGTCGGGTACCAGCCCCTACCCCACCTGCTGAATGACCTACCCTTGGTATTTTACCACCCCACCCTCCGACTATGGAAACGTAGGTATAACAAGACGAGGGGGCCAGGCATGGATGGAAAATATCAAAACCTGGCGTGAGTACCCCTACCCCCCTTCTCTCATGGAACACTCCCAAAGCACCCCCTTGTGGAGAGCTCTTAAAAGGACCCTACCCCCACGTGCAAAACCTCAAAATTCGTACCACCCCCGAAATCCTCACCCCCTTTGCCCACGCTGCCCTGATCCTGGTCCGAGCAAGAATGTAAATTCGAATTGCTGCCCAAATTTTCATGGTACAAGACTGTATTGAAAACTTTCAGTCAAGTAGGAAGATTTGGGTCAATCGGGAACTGTTTTAAATGAAGTAAAGAAGGATGTAAGAAGGTGGCCGGGGGTGGGTCAGGTGGGGTAGTCAGCATGGTCTTGCCAACTTCCCTTGCGTCTTTCGTCTGAGCTGGCGAACCCTCGTGACCGAGGACCTTGCTTACTGCTAAAATGTTTTAAGAAAATTTCAACTGATGTTGAAAAGTTTGAATATTGGAGGGAGAAGGTTTGAAAACTCTGAGTAAATTGAGTGTATGAGGGGGGACGGGGTGAACTGGTTGGTGTTTGCTTTGAGGCAGGCTTGGTGGTATGAATAGAGGGGCGGATTCCGCATGGCAACGCCCAGGTGAATGCTGAGGGAGCAGGGAGGACAGGGGAGGGGAGGGGAGGAGAGCAGAGGAGAGGAGAGGAGAGGATTAATGGTCGGAAGAGGACAGGACAGAACTGGACAGACAGACCTGGACACGAGATTGTGTATTAAGTTCAGATCATGTTGTTCAATGTCTTTCATGCTTGTCCTTGCTTGTACGCAGGCTCCTGTTGGCCTCTGCCAAGCATTCATGAGTCTGCTTACATTCATGTCATGCCATGGCATTACGTCGTCATGTCACACCATCATAGCGTGTCTTCATTCACGCTTTGTCCGGCTGATAATCTCATGTTTTCAAATTATCTACAGCAAGGGAGGGGTAAGAGTTCGGAGGCCTTTGAACAAGTGGGAGAAATCGTCGAATGAAATCTTCGTGAGCAAGAACCAATCGTTCCACGCTCTTCGACGACGCGTAGACAAGATGTAGAGCTGAATGCATTGCAGTGTTACTGCTGACTTGAACTTGCTGGTTGTTAGACTGGAGGCGGAAGGCAGCGTCTGCCTGCATGCGACTGGGGGAGCGATCGTGAGGGCGATCGACATGGCGCACGAGGTAAGCCAGAGACAAGTAGGGCAGGACTGGAGTGCATGCAACGATATGAGGGGATGTAGAGGAGAGCAGATGATGCGATGTGCGACAGATCCGAAGGTTGTCGCCGTCAGAGCTCAGCCTCTTCCTCAACACTTCTACAGAAATCGCTACCGATGAAGTGTGCAGAGAAGGAGAAGATGTGAGATGTGAAGGTGAAATGCTCATTGGCATTCATGGTGCTGCAGGCAAACAAGATCGAGACAGCCACGAGACTGATACCTGCAGTTCACATAGGAATTTCCCATAAAAGATGAACCGTCGCGCTGTGACGGCCGCAGTGCCGCCCGGCCTCAGCAGAGTCCGATACGGTCACTGCCGTACAGACGGGAGTCAGGCTCGGCGCCGGGTCGGCCGGGACTCCCGAGCCTGAGTCCGGAAAGCCGAGTCAGGGCCCGGGGGCATGGCAGTGACCGGCGGTGCGGCGATCGGACGGCCCTCCCGGCCGGGCGCCGGGCCGGTACGGTACGGTAGTACACTGAATGCCATGATGGCAGCCCGGTACCGGGGCCAGGCCCGGCCCGGCTGGTTTCAATGCTCTCCAGGCTTTAAACTTTCCAGTCACGGGCCGAAAGCCCCGGGCCCGGGCCCTGTCTGGCACGCCCTCAGTCACGGGGGCGGCCGGCCCGGCACGGGCGGCCGCCGCGCCGCAGGAGCGCGGGCTGGGCCCAGCCTGAGTCACTCACTGTCATCAGTGATGCCGGGGCCACAGTTTGCGGCCGGGCCCTAAGTTTATTATTAGGATTAGTTAGGAAATAAATGTTTTAAGATTTGTGTGCTTTTTATTTGGGAATGTATTTTGAAAATTTATAGATAATTTTTCAAATAAATATTCCTCATTTCTCTATTAAGGCATTGAAGCTTACACGGCCAACACCGGTGCAAACTAGTAGTAATCAAAGGGATATTGGTGGGTAGTTGAGAGGAGGGGTACCAAAGAGATTTTATTAGATGGCCCCCCACCCTACCCACTTTGTACTATCCCCCCACATCTTATACCCCTAAAGATGAGCTCAAGATTTCTATCACCCGTTCTTTCAAATCATAATACCCCCCACCATTGACTTGTCATCTGTCTGCTTACTCACCCCTACCCCTACAAAATCTATACCACCCCCCTTCGCATCATGCCATGGAATGGGCTCCGTGCAAGTTAGTTATGACTACCCCCACATTGGACCCGAAATTGGAGGGTGGGTACTTCAATCCTCACACTCCCAGGGTACAACAGTGAACATGGCCTGGAGCGCTATTCCTCCATGGCGCGAAACCTCCACCCTGCCTCCATCTCCCATCTCCTATCATCATGCATCCTTCCCGGTTCCTTGCATCCTCCTCGTCACTTCTCTCCCCCCTCTTCACTGTGCCTTGCCCTTTTCCCCCTGCATGGCTCCTGCTCCCTTGTCCTTCTGACTCAATTATCTTCTTGTCCACCTGGACTTTCAGCTCCTGAAGCTTTCCTTGCCCCCTCTTGTTTCTCGTGCTCCAACGTGCCCTCTTTACGCCCTTCCTTCATCTGGTCCATCGTGCTGCTCTGCCCCTCTTGCTCATCGATGCCTGTTTGCTGCCCATTGTCAATCTCCTCGATCACCTTCCCCAGCTCAACCCCGTTCGTCCTCCTCTTTTGGTTTTCTTGGCTTCGTTTCACTGCAGGAGCGCCTTCTGTCCTGCTATGATGATCTTCTCAACCAGACCTCCTTTGTCACCTTGCGCTCCTATATTTTCAGGCAGTCTGAACTGAAGAACAAGCAGCAGCATTCAGCCCGAGTGTTGTCTTCTGCATAGCGTTAACTCATTTGTCATGGCGTGTCTACCTTTGGTCTGTCTGTCTGATTTCTCCTTGTTTATCTCTTTCCTGGTGTATCTCAGAATGAGAAACTCCCCCTCTCAATCATCACCTCCGTGTCTAGCGATGTTGATGCTCATCGTTGTTAATCTCATCTTGATTTCATGCTTGCTTTGTTGTCTGACTCTCATTGAGCAGGTCACCGTTTTGGCTCAAGATGGAGATGGAATCTAGTCAGAGGGAACACTACAGCGTTCACGATGATGTGCCGGGAGTCTTAACGGAGGCGTATGTAATCGAAGCGTCCTCCACAGGTCAGAAGGGTCAGCTCTATTACTTTGACGCAAGTTTGACCGCAAGTATTCAGATTTGGAATGTCAGCGGAGCATGTACGGATGGCTCGTTCAAGGGGCCAACACAGCGCGGGATAGTAGCGAGGTTCCTTGAACCACTACAAGTCGGACGATGACTGCTGTTGTCGCAGATTCCGGCTCCGTCCCGAGCCCCGTCGGGGTACGAGACCGATGAAGGAGCGAAGGTGGAGACAATCATCTCGCGATGCCCGAGCTCGCAATGCAAGGAAGCGGAGGAGGAGGAGGTGATGGACTGCATCATCTGCTTGGAGGGAATGGACGATATGAGCAAGGTCTCTACTCTTCCCTGCAAGCATTCCTTCCACGAGCCCTGCATCATGAGGTTACCTCGTAGCGTGCTAGGACCTCTGGCCCTTAGAGCTCTTACCAGGTGGATGGAAGCGAGGGGCGAGCTCCGGCTATCACGCCGATGCCCGCACTGCAACCAGGAAGTCGATGAGCCTGCAAGCAAGCCTGACATCAGCAACATAGAGGCCGAGCTGCTCTCAGCCATAGAGATGGTAAGGCTGTGCTTCTTGGCTTTACCCTTGTCCGACCTTGCTTCCAACTTGAGCCTGAGACTTTGTCGAGTCAAGCTCTCGCTTCCATGTCTTATTCCGATGATCCTGCTCTCATGATGTCACAATCAGCATGTGCTCGCTCTGATTTGGTTTCCTGGCAGGAAAGCGTCTTCTCGATCTGCTCAGGCCACTACTGGTGAGACCTCATTTGCTCCTTCTTCAAACTCGCTCACACACGTTGTCATAGCAATCAAACATCGCTGAGGTTTTCCTGTTCATCTTTCAGCTGCAAGCATGTGCTGATTCTATTTGCAGGCGAGCATTTTACATAGTCTTCTTTGTATTCTTCGTCTTAATCATCATCAATGTCATCTTTCTCTTTCTGAGCTAACAAGATCAAACTCAATACAAATAATCCTAAGGTAATACAAACGGCTACGCGGTCGAACCCCAAGCCCTAGAAACTGACTGTCCTGCCATGGCGCATCCTGACTGACTGGCTCCTCGGATGCCGGGTCAGCACAGCGAGACTGCTTGAGAGCAAACCATTGCTAGCAAGATCAGTTTGGTGGAGTGTAACGATAGTTGACGAGGGGGAGAAGTGAACCCAGTAACTCAGGCACGCGCATCTAGTCTCCTCCCCTCCTCCTCTCTCAAGACTTGACTTCAGCTCTCTGAGTCTCGCAGCCTCAAGATACGTGCGATTCGAACCCTCCTTCGCCCCGCCCCAACCAAGCGATGGCTCCCTCGCACGTGCTGCTCGGCAATCAAACCCGGGGGGGGAAACGCCTCAAGCAAAGATCGACAACAAGGAGTTTTCATTGAATATCTACATACATGCGTCTTCATAATATACATACTCTACTCTTAGCAAATAGTATCCTCCTCTCCGCCCAGCTCCGGCTTCAGGCCTTGGCCTCCCTCTCGTCGACTCTCGCGTCGCTCGCGACGGCAGCAGGCGCTCTTAGCTGGATGAGGTCCCCTGTTGCCCCGACCACCGTCCTGCCCGCTTGGATGAGGCGTATAGAGGCCTGCAGGGAGGCGAGCTGCTTAGCGCGGGAGGGGCCAAGGGAAGGGAGGGAGGAGGGGCGGGGGGTTGAGGGGAGCGAGGTGTGAGTAACGGCAGTATCGCAAGTCATTGCCTTGCTGGGGGAGTTCAGGGGAGGATTCGGTGATGGAGCGGTAGAAGGAGAGAGGAGGGGAGCGGGGAATAGGCAGGTAAGAAGTTGCGGTGGGAGAGCGTGAATGTGGGGGGGGGAGGCTGGGGAGGCTGGGGAGGGAGCCGTTCTATTAAAGACCACGGTTGGGGAAAGGTGGGGGAATTCGAGAAGTGGGGGAAATCTCCTCAAAAGCATGACTGCTGACTAAGAGGTATCGTGACACATGGTCCGTGACCCACCTGGTTGACATGTTCTCCTCGCATCAACTATAGTTTTGACTCCCTGGGTTGGCGGTCGGTCCTCGATCTCAAGATAAAGCCCGAGTCAACGGCCCTGTGATCGTGACGGTCACAGATGCTGACATGGTGCCGTGACGACTTGAATCACGGATGCGGGTAGGCTTACAGGCTATTGGGGGATAAGTCCTCCACTTTTCCCCATTGCTAAAACCAGACGCTCCTCCCCTTCGCCATAAGGACACTCCTTTGTCGTGCTCCCCTCCTCCAGCGCTTCCTCTCTCCTCTTCATAAACCCGATCCCCGAAGCAACCAATACTCGTCCCCTCCCCTCCCTTCCCCTCCCCTCCCAGCCCCACCCGCAACAAACCCATGATCTGCGATACTGCCGTTATTCACACCTCGATCCCTCCCTCAACCCCCCGCCCCTCCTCCCTCCCTTCCCTTGGCCCCTCCCGCGCTAAGCAGCTCGCCTCCCTGCAGGCCTCTATACGCCTCATCCAAGCGGGCAGGACGGTGGTCGGGGCAACAGGGGACCTCATCCAGCTAAGAGCGCCTGCTGCCGTCGTGAGCGACGCGAGAGTCGACGAGAGGGAGGCCAAGGCCTGAAGCCGGAGCTGGGCGGAGAGGAGGATACTATTTGCTAAGAGTAGAGTATGTATATTATGAAGACGCATGTATGTAGATATTCAATGAAAACTTCCTTGTTGTCGATCTTTGCTTGAGGTGTTTTCCTCTTTGCCAAGTTGATTGCCGAGAAGCACGTGCGGTCATTCGGAAGTTCATAGCCGCTGTGTACGGTACCGAGTGGGCCCGGGGCGGGGGGCGGCTCGGACACCGGCGCGGCCAGTGCCGCATGTTGGCCCCCGCTGAAACTTAAGTTCCGAAGTTCTGAGTACCGCTGAGTCCGATCCGACTCACTGTGTCACGGCGGGCCCGGCGGGGCCCGGGGGCCGGGCCCCGCCGGCCCCGATTCATATTACGCCGAGTCTGTGGCCCTACCGTACCTCGCTGAGTCGGAGCAAACTGCAAGCCTGAGCGGCAGCACCGTCCACAGCAGAACTTCGGATCCGAGGGCATCGTAATTCATACTAGAGTCAGTAGGCTCAGCACGGTCCCGCCCGGCAAAGGCCTTTCTTCCCATAATACATTCCATGGGCGGCCAGCACTGATGGCCTCTTGCAAGACGATCATCGCGGCGTTCAGTGCGCTTTCTGTGGTGGCTGGCGGATCGCTCGGCGAACCGTTGAAGGGAACGGCAGCCGCTGGATGGTCACTCGGCCTCGCAAGACGTCTCAGGTGATCCGACTTGCAAACGCATCCGGTCCAGGATCCGAAGTTTCGTCAGCTCAAGGCCTCCCTGTCCTACGCTGCCATCATCGCGGGTGCATCCCGGACGGTACTACGGTATGCGTCTCATTCCTTCGGCGGCGGCCACAGCGACATCGCTGGCATGGCCGCGCGAGGGCCTTGTCCTGCGCGCCACAGGGGCCCCGACAGCAGTCGGCAGGATTGGGGTTGGTTCTCGCTGTCTTTTCTCGGCTTCTCGCCGTTTGGCCTGTGCGACAGCCTGGCAGTGCCCGGCAGTGTCAGGGTCAAGCCTCCTCGACTCTCCTGATTGTCCTACGGTACGGAGTGATTTTTAAAAGTTAACTTTGAGTAAATCAATGATTAGTAGGCCCGGCTGCGCGCCCGGCCGGCCGGGCGCGGCGCGCCGGGCCCCGGGGCTGAGCCTCGGATGCCAGGGCCGGGCCAGGTCCGGACCGGGCAACTGGCAAGCGCCCTCCGGGCCGTCGGAGAAATTTGGCGAGAGAACAAAAGACAGAAAACTGAAAGTTGCCCCTATCCCTTAAAGTTGCTGCCCCCCGCCGGAAACTGACAGTGATAGCAAAATTTGAGCTGTTTGGTGCAAGGAAGGCTTGCTGCCCTTGGCAGTATTGATAGTATTCTTATGAGATGGTCTGAGGCGGACTTATTGTGTTTACCGGGCTCCTTCTTAGCTCTCAGCATTATAATCGGGGAATGGCTGAAGCGACGGAGAAGAAAACCCCGAAGAAAGGTGAGGGAGGGAGGGAGGGAGAGAGAGAGAGAGAGAGAGAGACGGAGGAAGGGAGGGAGAACGAGCGAGGACGGAGAGGGAGTGGGGAAAGAGGAGAGGGGAGAGAGAGGA